GATTGTTTATGCGTTACTTGTATTTGAAAACCTTCCTCGCAGGGCCATGCACACGAGTATTCTGGGACGTGGTGGATTTTCCGTTCCCTAATGGTGTTGATCCTGCTTTGATTTATCAGAATATGAAACTAATTCTCGAGAATAAGGGTTTTCTTGGAGAATTGTCAATCATGGCTTATGTTGATAAGGAAAACTTCGCGGATGAATTGCTCGATGTTTATGGAATCACCATAATTCACCATCCCCATCAAGGTGAATAAATTATCTATCTTACACTCTTGTTTCTCTTTAATTAACTTGTGTATATATGTTTCTAGTCTCTAATAATCTGTGTTGATAATATTATAGGGGATACATATGCGAGAGTTGATAGTATGTTAGTGGACATTGTTTTGTGGGCATTGGAAAAACATCAAAAAAGAAACGGATTTCCTCAATGCCCTTGAAGCTTTGGAAGATAGATATTACAATGTTCTCTTAGCACTGCCTCAAGATCTCTCATCAAGTGAGCTACATACTGTTAGCTTTGAGTGGCTTTCGACAAGCCTTTTAGATCAAAGCGGAACCTTACAAGGTCTTAACCATGAGTGGAACCATAAGCGGAAGAGCAGAGAGGAGAATGTTGGTTTTTCTGATGGACTAGCCACTTTGGATCCCCAACAATTTAGCAGTAAGATCTATTTCTTGCTTGAAATTTCTCTGTCTATATCGAGGTGACCGATCTGTCTTGGATCTAACTCAGCGATCTGTCATTGTAAAACTTTTCATTCTCGTCTCAGGGTCTCAGATAACCGTCTTCTGGGATGTCCAGGATTGCGTTACAAAAATCGGCTCAGCTCTTCGCGGAAAGGGTTATCATGGGGAAGTGTTAATAAGACCTTATGTCGACGGGGATTTTCAGTGGCAGTGGGTTCCCGATAGTGATTGTCGTGACATGGATGTAGACCTTCTAACCAGAGTCGATCGTAACCAAAGGTGAGTTCCTTTCTTGTTTTTTTCTTTTTCTGTTAATCTCGATCTGCCTTTGATATATGCCTTGATATATATTTTCCAGGGAATAAATATGCGAAAGTTACTAGGATGTTATTGGACCTTCTTTTCTGGGCGATGAACAATGATGATATACCTCAAAGTTTCATGCTAATCTTGAAACCCGACACCAAGTGCAACAGTGTTATTAAAGCGTTGGAACATAGAGGTTTCAACCTTATCCTAGGACCTTCTGATGAGGTCTCGTTGCAGCTTTGTAAAAGCCCACCAGATGGAAAAAAGCGTATCAACCAAAGCATAAAGTTACAAGGTCGGAAGCTCACAGAGGTGAGCCGAAAACATGCAAGTAACATCTTCTGTCTCTCTTCTGATTTTTTTTTTTTTTGGTTGATTGATCTAACCAAATTGTATTCATTATCTAATCGTTTACATGGTCTCGTCTTGTGTAACTATCTCAGGGTCGTCGATAGCTGTCTTCTGGCTGCTTGGGGAGGATTGCCCATCCAATCCCACGTTGATGAGGTGGAATATCGAATCAACCCTTGAGAAGAAGGGTTATACGGAAATTGTGTCATTCACTGTTTATGTTGATGAGGGAAAGCTTTCAAATGAACTGGAGCATGCCTATTACAACTCGGGGATGAGTGTCCAACCCGTACCTGAAGAGTTTGGACGCACAAAAATTGATATAATGGCATGGGACATGATTAAGTGGACATTTTCCATTTCTGAACCATCACACTTTTTAGTAATCGCAAAGCCCTTTCAAGACGTGGTGTTGGACTGTCTTCTTGAAGATTTTGAACGCAGAGGACTCAACGTTCTCTTCGAGCTGCCTGATTATATGGTCAGTTTCGGAAGCTCAGTATGGTCTGCTAAAAGCCTATTAGATGGAAGTTGCAGTGCGCCTATCTAGAAAGCGAACAGTAGTGGACAATAACGTTTTACAATTCTCAGCTTTTGTTTGTTTTGTGATCTTGTCCTTTTTCTTTTTCTTTTGTTATGTCAGAAACCAGTATGAAAACATTTCATTTTCCTTCTATTAAAATCTGTTTTGGGTACAAATGATTTGCTGTTTTGTTTTCCTTTTGCAAAACTCTAATGATATGTTGCTATTGGTATATTAATATGTAAAGCAAGAGGTTGGGAAATTTGCAGTATAAAATTGACAAACTTATCAAGATTTTGAGTGTGCTTTTGATTTTTGTATCGCCATTTTATATGTTAAGTTTAATCTCGAATGCCCATAGCTATCAATACGCTCTGTCCCCCATTAACTTTAATTTTTTGTCAAATTCCACAATGAAAGCTTCATCAATGTGTGATTTGCTACCTTACCTTTGCATGGCCAATATTTGTATTTGTTGTCCCAGCGCAAAATCAAGCACTTGGAAAAGGATGGTAAGCAAATTTCTGATAGGATCGGCTGATTTAATGGGCTCTGCTAATCTCTGGTATTGATTTCTTTTCTCAACTTTTCAAAAATTTGTATGCAATATAGAGATAAGTATCATTGTCTCCAAAGAATACCAAATTAGTAGGACATCGTTAACTTCAATGAACATTCTGGTGAAATTTGGGAATTCGAAATGGTATATTGTAAATTTGCCTTCTAAAGTCATATCCTTCCACAAGATGCATTAGAGAGAAGATACATACGAAGAATGCAGCTGAAAGTTCGCCACGAGACACCACCGTTTGTTTTTGGTTTGTTAATTGTATACCACTGGTGTGTTCACTCACAAACTTTTTCTACTTCTTTTCATTTTCCACATAATTCATGTAGCCAGTATTACCTACTTCCACAAAGCCTTATATGTATCAATTTAACGACTTAGTTTGCTTTACAACATGAGGATTGGTGTGCAACTACACACAAAAATTAACAGCCAAAAATAAAGCTTGCTAACATAAAATTTTCTACTTTTTTAAGTCACTGACATTATTTAAACGTCGTATTGTCCTCTGCTTTAAGTAGGAGTGAGAAAA